ATAAAAATATATTTACAAGCAAACCCCATGGCATTTGGCACAATTGTCCAGTCTATACTGGATTTATTCCTGTAACACACGTTGAATGTTGTTTATTGGAGTTTGTCGTTCAAAGAGTGTTTCAAGGATTCCTAGGATAGTTGACAGAAGTACTCTGAGGTATGTACAAAGAAAGAAAGAGAGAGAGAGAGAGAGAGAAGAACCATGGCTACAGAAATCATCATTTCCCAAATTGGCTAGCAATACTACCGGAAAATCCACATCAAACCGATACAGATTGAAGGCTTCGCTATACCGCCTTCGTTAAAGATCATCATCACGACGCTTCGTTTTCCATCATCGCAAGAATAAATTGACCCCCGTAAATCGTGATCGTGGCGAGTTTTTACGCAGTTTTTTTTGCATTAACCTGTGCACATATCTGCCGATAGACGCCCTAATTATCTGATTTGTTGTTATCGCTTATTAATATGCCATTTTTTTTCCACTATACGAACAGCTTCGTCGCAGGAGTCATCCTGAGGGAACGCATCCCCGCATTCGAGCGCATGCTGTGGCGCGCGTGTCGTGGAAATGTCTTTTTGCGTCAGGCGGAAATTGAGACTCCTCTAGAGGATCCTTCGACGGTAAGTAATCGTACCGCTCCGCTTGTAATCGAAGAATTTAAAGTTAAGATTGTATCCGGATAAATCTTATGAGTTATGAATTTCATTAATAATTATTGACAAAAACATAAATGATTTATTTCAACTTATGTTTTAATCAAAGAGTCCAGTACTAATTCGAAAATGATGGATTTAGGGAGACCAGGTGTACAAGTCAGTCTTCATCATTTTCTTCCAAGGTGATCAGTTGAAGACTCGTGTGAAGAAGATCTGCGAGGGTTTCAGGGCGACTTTGTATCCCTGTCCAGAAGCGCCAGCTGATCGTAGAGAAATGGCTATGGGCGTTATGACTCGCATTGAAGATTTGAACACTGTGAGAATATTATATTTTCTCATATCAATTTAATGAATTAATTTTTTAATTAGTTAAACAACTTATTGTTTCTGAAATTGATTCCCCTCATACTTTTTTTTACTCTCAAGCTCTTTTAATTCTTGGTCAATCTTTTTTGAAACATACATGAGATGAGGATTTGAGTCAAATACTGGGTTCACCGAGTTGGGACCCATCTCTCTCACATGTCACTACATTAGTTCTATTATTAGCATTATTAGATAGTAATGGCATTAGATAGTAATAGTATTATTAGATAGTAAATTTCAATATTGATATTAAAAGAGTTTGTCTTAATATTTGATAAAAAATTTGTTGAACATATATTAACGATGCAATCTTGGTTTCTAGGTCTTAGGACAGACGCAGGATCATCGTCATCGTGTTCTCGTAGCTGCTGCAAAGAACATCAAGAACTGGTTCATTAAAGTTCGCAAGATTAAAGCAATCTATCATACTTTGAATCTTTTTAATTTGGATGTTACTCAAAAGTGTTTGATTGCCGAATGTTGGGTACCTGTCTTGGACATCGAGACTATCCAACTAGCGTTAAGACGTGGAACGGTAATTGACGAATATCATTTCATAACATTCCTTCGCTATTTCAATGATCTTTGTATCGCAAAATAAAAAATTAATGTTTTTTTATCTCTAGGAACGCAGCGGGAGTTCTGTTCCTCCTATTTTGAACCGCATGGAGACTTTTGAGGATCCACCAACATACAATCGAACGAACAAGTTCACGAAAGGATTCCAGGTGTTGATTGACGCTTACGGAGTTGCATCTTACCGCGAGATGAATCCCGCGCCCTACACCATTATTACATTCCCATTTCTGTTTGCAATAATGTTCGGTGATACTGGCCACGGCCTCATTATGTTCTTGTTCGGTGGTTGGATGGTGCTGAAGGAGAAACCATTAGCGGCTAAAAAGAGCGATAACGAAATTTGGAATATTTTCTTCGGCGGCCGTTATATTATCTTTCTTATGGGCATGTTTTCCATGTACACCGGTCTAATTTACAATGATATATTCTCCAAGTCTTTCAACATCTTTGGCTCTAATTGGTTGGTGAACTACAATTTCAGCACTATTCAGCACAATAAAGAGCTGCAACTAAATCCCAATTCGACAGATTATGTCGATTATCCGTATCCTTTCGGTATGGATCCGGTGTGGCAACTGGCGGAAAATAAAATCATCTTCCAAAACTCATATAAGATGAAGATTTCCATCATCTTCGGCGTGATGCATATGTTGTTTGGCGTGATGGTGGGATTGTGGAATCATATGTACTTTAAAAGGCGCATGAATATTACTTGCGAGTTTGTGCCACAGATAATCTTCCTTTGTGCACTGTTTCTCTATATGGTGACCCTCATGTTTGTCAAATGGATCAAATATGGTCCAAAAAATGATCCGATCGATGGTCCTGGCTGCGCACCCTCGGTTCTCATCACTTTCATCAACATGGTTCTTTTCAAACCTTCCACCAAAGTCGGCAATTGCGATCCCTACATGTATGGCGGTCAGAGCGGCTTGCAAAAGTTTCTGGTGGTTGTAGCTCTGTTCTGTGTACCATGGATGCTGCTAGCAAAGCCGATTTTGATGATGCGCAACCGTAGGAAGCAGCATTATCAACTGAATAATCATGGTGCTGAGAATGGCGACGTGGAGGCTAGCATGGGAGCTCTCCAGCAGAGCGGAGGTGTTACTCAAAGTGGTGGCCACAAAGAAGAGGAAGAAGACATGACGGAAGTGTTCATCCATCAGGGCATTCACACTATTGAGTATGTTCTTGGCAGCGTGTCGCATACTGCATCTTACTTACGTCTTTGGGCTTTGTCTTTGGCCCATGCCCAATTGTCTGAGGTGCTGTGGAACATGGTAATGAGAAACGGTCTGGCGAGGGAGGGTTGGGACGGTGGTATCGTTCTCTATGCTGTCTTCGCCTTTTGGGCAGTGCTTACCGTAGGCATTCTCGTACTTATGGAGGGCCTTTCGGCATTTTTACATACACTTCGATTACATTGGTAAGATTCTATTCACGAGATGTCTCATATTTTTTCCTGATTGATTATTTGTTTATTGATAAATTGTTATGTGCAAAAAATATCATTAAATGATTTATTTGGTTTAATTAATAATTTTATTAAGTGAAAAATTTATTATTGCTGTAAACTCATCAATAATGCTCATTGATGAAAATATATATTATTTTTAATTCTCGTTTTCTGTATTTCAGGGTAGAGTTTCAGAGCAAATTCTATTCTGGTTTGGGTTACAGCTTCCAACCGTTCTCCTTCGAGATCATCCTCGATGCTGCACAGGCCACTACCGAAGATTAATAAAATTAATTATCGTTAATTAATGACTAGCCTCGCTTATTATTAATACAAACGCAAGGGCGTTATGAATTTAATAGTTGTTAATTTATACAAGTCAGTTATGAATAATTATTAAGCAAAATAACCTTTACGAATATAAATGTGTATCCAGAATATCGATTATAATAATCGATCGAAAGAACGGAAATTAATTCCTCTTTATCTTGTGTAGTCTTTTAACTGTAAACTGAACTTTAATCGAACCACAAAATTTGTAACGCACACAAGATCATGACAAGAAAATATTTTCATGATATTATGAATTTCTTCCCTGTGGTCGAGAGATTAGATTATAATTCAAAATCTAAAATCTTTCTCTCTAAATAAAGTATTGATTTATACCTTTCTCGTCCGTCATCGTCTAATATTAGAAATCTCTTGCAATTTTAAAATCCTTTATGCGAGCAGTACAGAATTCTCCGTGCACATCGTAGCGTCTGTAGATCTGAAAACAAATGTATGTCGCGTTGGCGATTGATTGATGTTATTCCATATATCTCTACGTAATAAAAAAATGTGGCATATTGAAAAGTGTTTGATGAAAACTCATTGACTGCACTTATAAATCTGTACCTTTTTAATATACTGGACACAGCGACTTGTGTGCAATTCACCCATACTCCATAAGATTTCTGATCTTTTGCTTTTATGCTCTTTCTAACAACGAAATCCGATTGTTTGATTCATCTAACAGCACGGTATTAACCAATCGTATTAAATTAAAATCGATATAAAAAATAAATTATGACTAAAGCGACTTAAGAGAAATTAGTTGTAATAACTCGAAAATGTATAAAAGATAGGAAACAAAATGAACGAACATTAAGATTAAACAAAACTAATGTTGAATTAAATTGTGACTAATCAAGAAACAAACTGTGATCAAATTTTTTGAGAATATTCAAGAAATTTTTATTATTCAAAGATTTATTTAAAAAATGGAAAGAAACTTTTAAAATTTTCTCATGCAAAACGAATTTACGTCAACTAATTTTAAATTATTAATTTAACATATTAAAACAAGATGTCAACTGATTAAAAATAAACTAATTTTTTAATAAAAATTCATAATAATAAAAATAATTTTGTGACTACAAGATCAAATGAAATAAAATTCCTATGTAAGCCTTCACGGTTGTTGATGTGTAAACAACGTATTTATAAAGCGATAAGATATAATTCGCGAACAATTGGAATATATTTAGACCAACGAAGTTACCTGCAGACTTTAATACAAAATTTTGTATATGTATTATGTATAATACGAATTTGTAGCATGATTAAAATTTCGTTTAATTATGTATATAAATTATAATTATCATAAATATTATAATGTAATTGTAAAACGAATAATTATAAATTATAAATTTTTAAATAATTTATCGAATTTTTATTGCAAAAGTCAATAAAACTAAATAAAAAGAACGTAATTGAGAGAACGGAACTTCCTTGTTTCAATTTTTAGATAATACTCGAATTATTATAACAATTCTACTTTCATAATGAAATTATAACAAAACGTACAATGATCTCAATCTTATTACATTAATTTATCACCGTTAATCTTATTATACCATAATTCTAATTCAAATTATCTTTGCATTTTGTCCCTTCCTCCAGTTCGGACTCTTCCTCCATCTAACCCGATGATATATTCTTATCAACCCGGACTTCGATTGGTGTGTAATATGACGCACACGTCGCTCGGTTTCGGTCGGTCTTCCCTTGCCGTCTCCGAGCAGTCCCGATCCCTCGGCGGCCGCTCCATCGGCTCCATTCGCTCCAGTCGCTCATCGGCGTGCGGACAAAGTAGTAGCTCTCGCGTCTCTACGGTCGGTCTCTACCTCGTTTCCTCATCTGTGTGTCTTTCATCGAAGCGTATCTTTCAAAATACCATGGCATCTGTGTGCATCATCGGCTCCGGCAACTGGTGAGTCTCGGAAGAAGGAGGTAGTATATGAACCTCGTTCAGCTAGACGTTCCAGCTGAAGAAGAATTGCATCGACAAGCGCGGTAATCGATTCGCACGTGCCCTTCGCACACATGCAGACGTTGGTGTACGGTAAATGCTTGTGTTTACCACACGCGCGCTCCGATTACACCACGACTAGTGGTACACCACGATAGAAAGAACGTCTTGGTCTCGTGTGTGAACGGAGTTCGTGTTAATTGTGCGTCGCATAACTAATCCATCCATTCCTATCAATCACGTGCCGAGCGGGAAAAACTATCGTTGGAGGCGTTGGAGCAGTCGTTCCTGCTTCCGGCGCGAGTTTCGTAGGTTATTCCGCTCGCATTAGTACTCAGGAAATTAATTAGAATTATGGTAATATCAGAAGAAAGCGAGACAAAAATAAAAATTGATAATTGAAGTAAAATAATTGATCTATAATTCTTTGTAAAAATTACTCAAATAGTAATTACGCATTTTCCACGATTTTTGTTGCAATGTGTAAGTGACTGAATTAATCTTTCTATTTTCTAACATATATTTATGTATTATTTAATGTACTATATTAGGGAAATTATATTTGACAACTTCGAAAGAATTCGAATCTTCGGAGTTAATTTTGAACTATCTTTGAAATTTTAACTATATTTGAAGTTTAAGGTGCCTTCGAAACTTCGAATCGGAGCTTCAAAAATATATTCGTGCGAATAGAGAAAAGAAATGAAAATATATTCGCAATTTATAGTAAATATGTTTTTTAAAATAAAAATATTAAATTATAACTGTATAATTTTAATTTCTCAAAGCTTCGAAGATTGAAATGTCCAAGTTTCGAAGGTTTTTAATACCGAAGCTTTGAATCTCAGAAGTCATAGGCTCGTATTCAGAACGCGCTTTTATCGATAAAAGCATTTATCTCTGAAATTCTATAATATCCGTATAAATTCTATAATATGTAAAATATAGTATGTTAGCGTATTAACATCGTGTTGTAAACGTGTTCTGTCGAAAACCTTCGAAACGAATTACAAGTCTTACACTATACAAGGTGTTCCATAAATCACCCGATTTGTGAGTACGTAGAGCGGACTAAACTGAGTCGAAAAGTCCTCTACCATTTTGCAATTTTCGCAAGAGTTAGCAAGATATTAATTACTAAATATTTCCAAATATTGGTCTTTAATTATTGGTCTATAATTTTTTAAATACTGTCAACTTTAAAAAACTGCAAGAGACAAAAATCATCAATTTTCTTCTCATAGAACTCTAAGAATTTTTTCAGAACTTTTTATCAACTTTTTAGTACTGCATTTTCTTATTTTTACTAACATGAGAAAATACGGTATTAAAAAATTCTGAAAAAATTCTCAGAATTTTATGAGAAGAAAATAAATAATTTTTGTCTCTTACAATTTTTCTGTAAAGTTGATAATGTTTGAAAAAAAATTATTGAAGATTTTCCAATATTCGACAATTTTTAGTAATGAATATCTTGTTAATTAATCTTATTAATTAATCTTATTAACTATTGTCAAAATGGTAGAGGACTTTTCGACTCAGGAGAGGAGTTTTAGTCCTCTCTGCCTGCCCACGAATTGTCGGGTGAATTACAGGACACCCTGTATATTATTCAAATATATTATTAAAAATATAATATTTAAATATATTATTGCTATTTAATATATAAGGTATTCTATTTGAGACGGAACAGTGATATATCTTAAGAACCGATGGTTAGATCGAAAAATCTTTCATTCAAAAGTTGTATAGTTTGGAGGGGGATATAAGATGGTGCCATTTACTTGACCTTAGGAAGTCGTTTGAAGATCACATTAGATCATCATTAATTTCTTAAGTGGAATCCTATATATCGGGTGTCTCAGGCCACCCGTATACCTCTTTTATCTCGGGAACAGAGCTTTTTAGAAAAAAACATTTCAGACAAAGTTGTGGAGTTCTAAATGATCTACTTAGTGATCTGATCAATCTAATCTTGAGTAGCGTCACCAAGGTCAGAGCAATGTCAATGTTGAATTTTTTAAATGGAACCCCCTATTTTTTATTGCATATTCTTATAGCACACCTCGAAAGCTTTCCAAAACATTATAATAAAATAATTTTTCATAAAGTAAGTTCCATTTAAAAAATTCAAAGTGACATTACTCTAATCTTGGTGACGCCACTCAATGTCAGATTGATCAAATCACTAAGTAGATCATTTAGAACTTACATTTAGAACCCCACAACTTTTGTCTGAAACGTTTTTTTTTTTCTAAAATGCTCTGTTTCTAATATAAAAGGGATGTATGAATGGTCTGGGACACCCTGTATTTCGTTACATATTCTTATAGCTTATCTTGAAAGCTTTTCAAAGCATTATCATAACATACTTTGTCATTGTAGTATAAGTACTTTTCGAGTTATAAGGCTCATTAAAAGTTACAATACCGCCGGTATTAGCATTGCCTAAGGTATCTGACCGTTGGCTAACCTTTTGAATATTGTTTAAGATCATTACTTAAATAACATTTATTAAAGCCATTAGAGTTATTGTTTCTTTTATTTTCACTTTTGCACTAAAAATTAATTTTTACGCAAAAATGAAAATAAAGAAACATGAAAATAAAAGACTTTCAGTAGCCTTGATCTTAACAAATGTCCAGAGCATGATCCTGAACAAGAGGTTTTTCCATTCAAAAGGTTTTAGCCATCGATCGGACACTTTGGATCTAATGTTAACGTCGACAGTAATTTCCAAGCCTCATAACTCGAAAAATACTTAATGAAAAAATATTTTATTATAGTGTTTTGAGGAGCTCTCAAAATAAGCTTACAGATTTCTATAGACTGCCGACTTCGCTTCCATGTTTGAGGACAACGCTGGGCAACGCCATATTTATATTCACTCACTCTCATATAATAATAAATAAATCACACGAATGATAATGTTAATTTTTTTATATAAATTCACGCGATACTCGCAAACAGGACGCATACATATGCATGGGAATTAAAACAAGGATAACTCGGAAACAGGTTTATTCCAGCAAACGAGAATGGATTAAAATGGATTGAAATTTTTTTCTATCCGAATGCGTACTTTAAACAGCGAATACTTGTTTATGGATTTAATTGGATTCAATTGAATTCAATATATTCACTATAAATATCGCTGTATCATGATCCATTGCTAACTCCAACATTTCGTGAATGATATTGTATCAATGCGCCCTGATGAAATAAACGGCAACGTTCACGAAACGTTTGTATTAGCAATGGATAATGACATGGCGATAATCCGCAAATGCTTTGGTACCTCTGGAGAAAATACTCTTGGAAACAGTTTAAGTTTAAATAAAATTCTTATTGTTAATATCCTTGAAAGCCTAAAAAATATTACACTATAAATATATTTACTCTATATACTAATAAATATAACTGTATATATTTAAATAAATTGTTTAGTTTTAATATAAATCAGGCAAAATAAAGATTACAAGTTTCTAAGTCAAAGATCAACTAATATGTTAAGAACATTGATATCGTTTATCTTATGCGTAACTATTTGATTATAATGTTAATTACAATTATATATTCGTAGGGGTTCAGCTATCGCCAAAATAGTTGGTGCAAATGCGAAAAAACAGAGCAACTTTGCTGATCGTGTTACCATGTATGTTTATGAGGAGATCATCGATGGTAAGAAGCTGACGGAAATTATCAACCAGACCCATGAAAACGTCAAGTATCTTCCAGGACATAAGCTCCCCGAAAATGTGGTAAGATACTTGTTGCCTGCTCTTTTTGTATTTCATTGTATAAAAAATCATTTATATTAATCGTAATCTGTTCGCATCAAAAGCTTGTTGTTTTCAACTCGTAATTTTCTGTATATAAAAATTACAAAATTTCCTGCAGCTATAAACATAATAAAGTAAAATTATAAAAATGACAAAAATAATATAATCTGATGAGACAATACAATATTGATATAAGTGAAAGCTAAAAATATATAATGTATATCTATCTATTAAATTAAAATAATTAAATACTAAAAAATTTATTAAAATTAAATAAAAAAAATACCTTCAAAAAATAATTGTAGTTGAGAGTTCAAAAAAATTAATTAAAATGTGTGAATAAAGTACAATAGACAATGCGATGAGAGAAAGATAGATGTCTCTTAGCTTCGACGTTATTAGATAAAATAAATTTTAAATGACTTTCAGAGAAGAAAAATAAAGTTAATGTTAGAAAATAGTGGGAAGTGAGATTAAAGAGGGAGAATAAGTAGAAGGAACATAAGAGGGGGAATGTATAGAGAGGAAAGAAAGATAATTATGAGGGAGAAGGGAATTGTATGATTTGTGAATAGGATTCTGACGATGATTCATTGATGATTCATTGATGATTGTAAATATTTTATAAATATTGTATGCTATCTGAGTAATAGTTTCTTAGCAGATTCGAATAGAATATCGTAGCAGATTGATATTGATTGATATTGAGCTACGTCTGTATTAAACTCGTGTTCTGGCAGCAAAGTCTGCCAATATAATCTGACAGCAGAAATCAAACAGAATACGTCATTTCGTAATTTAAATGAAACGTCTGATGTAAAGTACTTAAACTACTACAAATATTATGCGCGATTCTGTAAATACGATTTCTGCAATTAATTTATCATCGTTGTATTTCTTTGGCGTTGTATTTATATTGTTGTATTTCTGCTGACATTCTGCCGGCAAAATTTTTATAATTAAATTTACAAATAAATTTTCAAATAGATTTGCAAATCAGACATTTTGCAAAATATATTTTTGACAGATTTGTGACTGATCACTTATTATTTATTATTTAAAGTATTATTTAATTTAAATATTATTATTATTATTTGACTATTTAATTCTTCCTCTTCTAGATTTTTTCTTTTGCAACTTTACTACTCTCATATTTCTTAGTGTACTTTAAATTTCTTAAACTGTGCGTGTTTAGAATGTTGAATGATTTCAATGCCGCACTTTGATTTCCTTTCAGGATGAAATTTTGGATTTCATAATTGGTTTTTCCGTCAAGTTTAAGGAATTTTTTTTAAAAATTCTGTGATACATAATTTCCAAGTTCAAAGTCGCAGGAATCCTTGTTTTATCTCAATCTTTTTGTAGAATGTCTTATGAAAAAGAAATAGAAACATAACGATTATCGTGTCCGGTAATCATTATCATATACTTGCAATACATTATGCGTTGCTAATAATACATTGTGAATCCTGACCTTTAACCGTCATAAACTTTGACTATGATGAAGGTAGCTACATTGATTTACTGTCTTCGAATCCGCGCGTATCGCATCTTTCGTTATTACAACCACGAATACACACCTCTTTTCTGCCATTTATTAAGAATACATATTGTACTTTGTTTTCTTAATGTATTTCTTTTCTCTATCAGCTATCATTTTCCTATTTTGATATTGATCTTTTGATTTATTTTGATAGACATTGGGATTATTCAATTACATAATATAATTTATATATATTATGGAATATTTTTTATGAAACTGCTCTTAACAGTTTATATTTCTTATGAGAATATATTCTTCGTTCCCCCTCTAGAATCACTGCACATATACAAAGCTAAGAATAACACGCTTCGTAAAACATTCATCATTTGAAGATGTAATTTTTATAGATGTTCAACTAATAATAAGCGAGAACAGCGGCGAGAGGATCGGTAATCAGGAATGCGTTTTTGTTTAATTTGATTAAGAGCATAAACGATGTGCTATTTTTTCCATAATACATTATTTCAGTTAATTCGAAGACGATTTCTGCTGTGAATTTTTTGTTTTATTAGGTGTTGGAATTAATTCGTAGCGTTTTTAATGAAAGAATGTTATTTATTTCACATGAGCATTAAAAAATACATTAATGAAAGTACTTCCCATCACTTGTAAAACGCTACGAATTAATTCCAACACCTAATATCACATAAACGAAGTTGATATTTAGAACTATTTAATAAATAGCAATATCTAATAGTAGGAAAGTAATAAATGCAGTGATTTTATTTATTTTCAATTTGACATTATTAAACTTAATTTTTATGCAGTTTTATTATTAGGTTTATTAATTTTTTTATGTGTAAAATATAGTAATATAATAATAATAATACCTAGACGAAAGTCATAGAACTGTGTGCAATAATTTCGCTTTCAATTTGACATACAAATTTCCTGCCTCTTCATTAAGAAAAATATATGCGTTCGGATAAAAGAAGAACGACGAGAAAGTATTATAAATGGCTGATTATTTTACTCGATCAAAACAAAGTTACTTATTAGTTATACAGTAATTTTTTTATCTCGAAACATTCAATATCGTACATTATATGTTATTGCATCACTTTTTATTTTAATTGTATCGATTATATCATCGATATAATTTTCTTTCAAATTTCTTTAAATATCTTGATTGACAACAAACTATAAAGATAATCTATTCTTTAATCTGGTTATCTTTAAATATGCTTGGCTTTCGTATCTCATCCTTTTAAACCTAATATTTTATGCTGTACGATAAAATTTTTAAGCACATTGACTGCAGAACAGAGAGATTCAAAAACCTCTCTGTTCTGCAGCCAATTAACAGACTTAGGCAAGTAATAGAACGATCAAGAAAGATATCCGAAAGTACAAAGTTCAAAAACAAAGGAAAAATAATATTTTCAAGTTGAAAATCGTGGAATAATGATCTAAAAACTTAAGATACATCTAAAATCTCGAGAATATAAGATTTTAAATATATTTTACGATATCAATCAAGATTTTACAAGGTTCAATTCGAAAGATCACACACATTTAAAGATACAATATTTCCTATAAAAATTTTTCACTAAATATAATCGTATTCAATAGTTTTAAAAATAGCATTCGAGAATTTTTATTTTGTGAAGCTGTAACTCTGAATGTATTCTACTTGTGTGTCAAAATTGTTTATAGCAGAGCTGGTGATTTACTTCAAAGACTTCGAAATTCGAACCTTCGATCTTTCAATATTTAAGATTGAATAATATTGTTTAATAATTTTGTTTCTTAGAAATTCTAAAATTATATATTAGGTGTTGGAATTAATTCGTAGCGTTTTACAAGTGATGGGAAGTACTTTCATTAATGTATTTTTTAATGCTCATGTGAAATAAATAACATTCTTTCATTAAAAAACGCTACGAATTAATTCCAACACCTAATAATTATTAATGTAATACAGAGTAGAGTGGAACTAATTAAGTCAAGGAGCAAGTTGACATGTAAGTGAGACATGCAAATATTTCTGTAACTAAAATACGCATGAACATGTCTGTAATTACGTACTATAAGATAGCAGAGACTATATTACACAATCTGTGCTCAACTGTTATAGCCAATCATATTTTCGTTTTCGTCTATCATAAGTAAAATTATTAGGTGAATATTTTTTTGCTTACATGATAATTGATGTGATTAATAAAAATGTGTTTTTTTGGTATAAGTTATTAGTATATTTTTTAATTTTAATGTTGAAGTTTAATTTCATTTATGATTTTTTAGTTATAAAAAATATTTCAGTGGATACCAGTATGGGATTATATTTAGACCAAATGTTCCGACTAATCTTATAAACTGAGATGATTAAATTAAATCTGTCTTTACTGATACTTTTTATTATAATGTCAAATTAAAGAAATACGCAATTAAAGAAATACTTTTGTTTTTTATTACAGAAAGTTAAGTTTTTAATTTTGAATTTGTTAAAAAACATTTAATGAAAGAGTATTACCAATATTATTTTATATAAGATAAAAACTTTAACTTAAACATTCCGAGGAAATGTTTTATATATAATTATATACATTTTTATATAATTGTATATAAATAGACATATTTTATATATAATTATATATAATTTTATATGTATTTTATTTATATTTTATATATAAATTTATTAATATACATCTAATCCTTTTATTTTGTGATAATATAATTTTATTAAACTTAAAATTTTATTAATTATCTTCATAACTTAATTTATTTTTTATTGGCTTCATCCTTATTATTTGTATTAAAAATATTTACTTATGTATATATGAAAAATCTTTAGAAATTATAAGTAAATCTATAATTTATATTGAAGTATAAATGATCTATGTTGAAGTATAAATATGAATAGAACACTCCTATCGAGATGATTCTCGTACTGTAAAAATTATTATTTGATAATTCAGTTTAATTAATAATAAATAGTTTTTAATTAATAATAAATAGTTATACTTTATGTGTGTGCAGGATTGAAAAGTAATATATTAAGATAAATTTTCACGAGCTGTTCAAACCGGCTGTTTCAGCGACAAAAAGGATTACGTGGTCAAAATTGATGAATGATATTCGTCAATTTTGATCGTTTGAGCAGCTCGTGAAAATTTACCTTTACTTGTAACTCCGTTACCATTATAATTATTTTGTTTTAGTAATGAATTGTTAATATGATTTTCTTATTAATACAATGAAAAACATTTACTGAATTTTATTAAGTATTTGTTTGAGTAGTATTAATGAAATACACTATTCAACAAAATTAAAGCATCACCTGTTTTACTCTATAAAAATATGCAAATTTCAAGATAGAATGACTTCGTGAAAAATCATCGTATCGAGATGCGATGGCGAACTCAAATTTCAATTCAGTGATTCTTTTGTATTATTTTCTTTTTGTATTAGGATTTATTTTAATCAGGAGTTATTTTAGTGTTGATTCATTCTAGATTGCAATTCCGGACGTAATGGAAGCTGCGAAAGACGCAGATATACTTATATTCGTAGTTCCTCATCAGTTCATTCAAAGGATATGCAGCACGCTGCAAGGAAAAATCAAACCCACCGCTGTCGGGCTGTCGTTGATCAAGGTACATTGTAATCTTCTTTGTTCAATTTTTACGAATATCACGTGTAGTTTTTTTACCCATTGATCTACAATCGTACACATTCGGCATATTCTTTGTAGGGCTTCAACAAGAAAGAGGGTGGCGGTATCGAACTTATATCTCACATTATTTCGAGACAATTGCAAATTCCTATCTCAGTCCTGATGGGCGCTAACTTGGCTTCCGAAGTAGCTAACGAGATGTTTTGCGAGACTACTATCGGTGAGAAGAATTAAAATTCCAATCTTATAATTATCAGTTTCTTACTCTTAATCATTTATAAATTTTAACGGTCACGAGAATTTCCATAAGACTGGCCGTCTTTAATAGTATCTCATCAGTGTCCTTGTTTAACTGGAATGAAAATATTCCGTTACAAAAGCGTTACAAGCGTCAAATGAAACGCTGTAAAACACGTTATAAAGCTAGAGAAAGTTTTATGTAAATCACTCAATCACTTGTTTCTAGATTTATGCGCGGATTTGAAGCAGTTCGCTAACAAAATAAGTTCTGCAATTATTAATTGGAATTTACAGGTTGCAAGGACAAAGTGATGGCACCAATATTTCGCAGCTTGATCCAGACGTCATATTTTAGGGTGGTAGTCGTCGAGGACGTGGATTCTGTGGAATGTTGCGGAGCGTTGAAGGTGATAATTAATGGATATTTCTATCAATTTAACTGTATTTATATTAAATTTAATTTTAATTAATCTTTTATTCTTTTTTGTTTAGTAAGATTTTTAGTAAGATTTCGATAATACAATAATATGTTCGTATTGACGTTTTATAGAATATAGTTGCGTGCGGCGCTGGTTTCGTAGACGGGCTAGGTCTGGGTGATAATACGAAAGCTGCTGTAATTAGGTTGGGTCTTATGGAGATGATCAAGTTTGTCGACGTATTTTTTCCGGGCGGGAAATTGGCTACTTTTTTTGAAAGCTGTGGAGTGGCCGATCTTATCACGACGTGTTATGGTGGACGCAATAGAAAGGTCTCAGAAGCCTTCGTCAAGACTGGCAAGGTCAGTAATGCAGACTGGGTCGGAATGAACATGTCCCGCCTTATGAAAATTAATGCCCAATTTTTTCACACCTAGATAACTTTATCCAAGAGATATCTCTCAGAATACAATGGAGATAGGATACCTGGACAAAGTTATCTGCTTATCTGAAACTTATCTGAAAGTGAAGAAATGGGGCATTAGTCAGTTTTGTATTTCAGCTAATTCCGACGGAATTTTTAGATTATTAAAAAAAAAAAGATTTTTTTCGATATCTATTAGAGAAGTTTTTAAGAATACAATATGTCAACAACTTGATATAACATGTTTATAATTATAACTTATAATTATTTTATATATAAATTGTTGTATTATATAATAATGCAAAAAATGAATGTGATTTGCAGTCGATCGAGACACTCGAGAAAGAGATGCTGAACGGACAAAAACTGCAGGGTCCGTTTACAGCCGAAGAGGTTAGTTATATGCTTAAATTGAAGAACATGGAAAATAGATTCCCGTTGTTTACGGCAATTCATCGGATTTGCATTGGTGAGCTAAAACCGACGGATTTAATCGACTGCATACGCAGCCATCCAGAACACATGTAAGCTCAATTGTTATCATAGCGTTTTAAATGTGGTTCACAATGTAAATATAAAGACAATTAGTTCGCCAGATCTATGGATCCTTTATTTCTTTATTGCCGATAATTTAATTAATCTGACCTGAAAATTGCCCAAAATCCTCATTAACAGATCGACAACATCAAAACCATGAATTGCTTTAGAAAGAACTTTAATTCTTTTTAAGATTCCAAAACGGATCGTTCCAAATTCTGTAAAGTGAAACTTATAAAATAAATTAATAAAAAAAAAGATTAAATAATACAATACGGAGACCATGCTATTGGATCAAATTTAATTACTCTGTGATTACAAAATTTTATGAATTAGAAATTTTACATTACTCGAAGTTTTAATGATTCCAAAATTTCATGGCTTTATAATTCCAATTTCACATATATAGAATTCTATATCTTATAAAATTAGAATGTCAAATTTCAGATACACACGCAAATACAAAGTTACATGAATCTAACATTTTTTTTAGGGGGGGGGGGGATTTATAGTCTTGAAGAAATTCAATAATTTGACTTAATATTTCAATTTAATTAAATTTGATAAGTACAAATTGTTGAACTTTTTCTTTTGCGATTTGCACAATCTGTATATCGGTTTTTCTTATGGATCCATGAGCTCGAAAATAGGTTTAAAAAGCCCGAATAATTTAGTCCATAAAATCATCGCGTTGAACGTAATGGATAAATAGATTGTTACATTTTACAATGTGAATATATGTACATATATATTTTATCGCACAGAGATTTTATTCAATGTTTTGATCGAATGTATTTGTAGATTTCCAATCATTAATTGTTGTATGCGTTACCAACGAACGAATTTCGTTATGTAAATCGAGAGAGAAAACAAATATAACTAATTATTTGTTAATAAAAAATAAGACTTAGCTCTTCTATATCCCTCGTTTTCCTGGATTTTTAAAAATATCTTCTTTCATTAATACGTGATCTATAACTTGAAATTCTATTTAATCTTTTCTTAATAAAATTGCATGTAATGTATCATTAACACGTTTGGATGAACTTATTGTTAGAAGTAACTTTCGCACGCGTATCGAAAGATAATTCAAACAAAGAAAATATATATACATATGTATACAATATGTAAAGATATACATACGTTATATAGATATATATATGTTTTTTGTGATATTTTATGTAAATGAATATGTATACACTCTACGCCAAAAAATTAAGGGATCACCTATTCTACCCTTCAAAAATAGGCAATTTTCAAGAAAGAGTAATTTTGGTCAATGAGATGATTTGAAAAGAAATCTAAAGCTCGTTTAATTTAAGTCTCTACTTTTTAGATTTAGATCGATATTTTAAATAACATTCTGACTGATTTTTTTATAGAGATACACAAATAGAGATCAATCAAATCTCAACATTTTTTGCGAATTTTGTAAAATTCCACATGAACTAAAAATCGTACACAAATATAGTTTACAGCTTGGCTTTCGAAAGAATAAATTTTTTATAATTTATGTACTTATTGATAGTGCGATTTTTTTTTATTGAGTTCAATATTATGGAGCAGAAAGAGTTTTTTAGATTTTGCTGACAGAAAGAATAGCTCTCTGTATCCATTAAAATGGATAGAAAATTTTATATTATGTTCTCTTTTAAATGTATATATCTATCATGTATATACATCATACACACAACACATAAAGAAGCACGAATCCAATTGTGCAACTTTCACATTATGCGCGAAGTGTTTAATTGTTAATCACATCCGATATATTTAATTTCAATAATTATGTTAAAATAATCAACAATATTCGAATAAGAAAAACTTTTATTGTTATATAACTGTGTCCAACCAAGACCAAATTGATAACGAGATAAAAAAGAGAACAAAATTTGTGAGTGACGTGTCAAATAATAAAAATAAAATAAATAATATGAAAAATAAATTATTGTAGGTCATATCATGGTGAAATCAAAAAGGTAAAGCCTTTCCAAAGCCTTTCCAAAGAATGTACAGTAGTCGGTAAAATAGTGGGAGTTTAATCAATCAGACGCCAACAGCAATGTGAAAAACAAGTAGCTGGCGAAAACAATATAACATAAAAACAATTGTCAAGGGATTTTAAAACTTATAAAATATTAATATATACGCATGATAAAAAAATTCTGTGTCTGATTTTACATTTAAGTCATTTACTTGCATGTTAATAAATATTTAACATTTCGAAGATCAATCTTTTATATATACTTTTCATTACCTAAAATCTTGATGTTGTTCCAGTCAAATTCGTTTTAAATTAAATTACAATTTATGTTCTGAGGTATCAGGGGCGGGTTATCTCTGTGTCGTAATCCATTGCTAATGCCAATGTTTCCTGAACCTTGCCGTTTACGAAATACCAAGGCATTAGTAATGGATTATGACACAGTGATAACCCGCAAACTCTTTATCACTTCTGAAGAAAATACTCGTGAAAGCCTCAAAAGTATTACGCAATTTATGTTCCGTGAGGACCAACAAGTTAGCATTTTTCTATTAATATGATTTTAATGTTCAAAAATTCTTGTTTTTAGTTGTTTGTCCTACATAGGGAACATTACAGTCTTTGCATATGATTTTAATAAGTTTTATATTAATATCTTTAGTAACATTCTTAAATTTTTCGCAATGAAAGATAAAAACAAAATTGTGAACTAAGTAATTTTTTTTTCTTCGATATTATTATCTGTCAATTGATTAGTCTTGTGTTTAAAAAAAGATTTTATATATGAATTAATCATATCAAAAACGAACCTATACATATAAGATAATCATTATCCAAATAAGTTTTTATAATAAATTTAAAATTTTTTTCGTAGAATTTCGAGTGGATAATAAGAAAGCTCTGTCAATCATATTCATTGTAATATCTCTTGATAAAACTTTTCTTTTACATAGTCAGTCTCAAATGACCTCCAAGTGACCTTGACCTTAAGTGGAGAGACATGAAATTTAAATATCTCTCCGAGAACGTCGATTTGTGGAAAACATTAAACTCTAATTTTCCTTTGTTATTAAATGATATCGAGAAAGTTTAACTTATCACTGGTCACCTCTAAAATGGAATTCCTGGATGTAAAAGTAATGATAAAACTTTTCTTTTACATAGTCAGTCAGTCATCATAGTAATGATTGAAAATCTCAATGTGTGATTCTAAGGTATAGCCATTGCTATGTCACCTATAATAAAATGGTAAATATTAAAATGTAAGTAAATAGCTTAAATGTAAAATCAGACACGAAATTTTTACACCATGCATATATTAATATTCTACAAAAATTTTAGAAAGTATTGACAATTGTTTTTACCTCATATGACCCACAATAATTTGTTTTTCATCATTTACATTTTTATTATCTGACGCTACTCATGAACATTATTTTCTTTGTTATCGATTTGATCTTGGTTAGATATAATCATATAACAACAACAGTCTTTATTCGAATATTGTTTATTATTTGCCTTTAATATAACTAATAAAATTGAATATATCAGATGTGATTTTGATTGCAGTAGATGAGCGTTTATTCAATTTAGTTCATGATTATGAATGTTGAACTCACAATTTATACTAAATTTGTTACTTTATAGAATTTATTTAGTATAACAATTACTTGATATAGTATCTCTTTAAATATGGAAATTGAAAGCGGTTTGATCAGTTGTATACTAAAACCTGATTTTATATGATGGTTATTGAATATATTTAAAACTTATGTCGCTGATGATGGTTGATGATGGCTTGAAATCGAAATTGATGATGGCTTGAAATTTGAACATTCCAAATTAATGTAAAAATTAATAAATGTATTAAAATTTTCTATCACATGAATTACTAAAAATTAGTAAAAATTAGTAGAGGAAAGCCTTCCTATTATGAGATAGGCATCTAATATGAGATAGTGGCGTTTCTGCTAAACTAATAAAGGCTATCTATGGTTTCAGCATGAATTTATTGCTCTTGGATTGAAAACTATTTAGTAAAAAATTCATTATTAGATCATACCTGTAGTCATTGTAAAAAAGATTTTAGAATTTGGATGTCTTCAAGTTTCATTGAGGTGAGCCTTTAAACCTTGTCTACATATATATATATATAAATTTTATATGTTATCTTAAAGCTTATTAAATTCCCTTTAAAATAACCTATTATTTTTTAAAATTCTGCCCATAGATTTTTAGCATTTATCCAAAATGAATTCCGTATCATAATAGGGGCCTTCCTTCTATTCTCTCGTGCCCGTTTATTTCATCATTGTTTAAATCTCGAGAATCCCATTATTGTTAATTCATTATTATTATTAATTTTTTAAGTGATAACGACATATTAACAAATAAAACGACATATTTTTATGAGTGACATATTAAAATTTGAAAATAATTAATTCTTATTGCGAAAAATATTACCTCGGTTGGGAGTCAAATCCGGATCTCTTGTTATTCGTTTTTCAATGAACATTGCTAGGTGTCCAGTGATGCTTAAATGCCCTTTGATCCTGGAATTATTTTGGAATTTAATGTATCTTAAAACTTCTTGAAATTTTAAAACTGACTTGGAATTTTTATCATTCTTTATACTAAGTATGATTGTAAATGGATAAGATGCAAGCAACTTTGAGATTACAAAATCTATTTAATGTGAAAGCGCCAATAAATTAATAATTTTATAAGATGTTTGAATATATAATATTAATAAAAAGAAAAATTATGTTTAAGTCCTTCCTTAAAGATGCAATAAATTACTAATAAAAAACTTGAATTTAATATACAGGATGTCTCATTTAAGATCGGACACCTGGAATAATACTCACAGTTTTGGAGATAGGAAGAAATGCTTGAAATAAAGTTGTTCGGTATCAAGAGGAGCTCATGTGATGATGAACATTTTTTCCCAAATGGAGATATTTATTTAGGAGATTTGAGAGTCATCTTCATCTTTTTAAATAG